ACGAAATCGTTTTGTAGACCGAAAGAGTCTTTTTAATTATATATCGTTTATAAAGGTTTTTTAAATAAAAATTTTGAGATACCAAAGACTTTCTCAAGGAGACAATTGGAATTGATGAATGACGAGATACTCAATATGATGTAACAACGCGACAATGTATTAATTACAAAGAGACTAAACACGAGATCAGAAAGAATAAAGGGCTGGTAAAATAAAAATACTTTGAATACACGATAATTCTTCTTCTTAAAAGTGAAACTGGAACAAACCATGAAGTGGAGATATCCAGGAGTGGCTAGTATACCTGTTGAATACAAAGCACGTGGTAGTCGTGTGTATTAAGGTATAAAAAAATGCTTATTAAAAGCTTAAAACTTTTATTTTAAAGAAGATCTTTTCGGAATAAACTCATTCCATCATCAGTTTAATAAAAAGTTGTAAAAAAACATTGTATGGCCACATGAAAAAATAGTAGGTAATTGCAATAGACTGTTGATTTGTAGATTACTAAAAACTGAAAATGGGGGCATCTTACATGACCCCCTGTAGTTGGTGAGGTTTTATTGACTTACATTACCTCTGATCTGTGCACAATCTCCAATGTTGAAGTAGATCCTTGGGATCAGTAATTAATTTATTGTCCTTCACAAAACTGTTAAAACTGCAAAATTTTGTATGACCTGTCACTTCTTTTACGAGTTTATGTATGTTAAAGTGGACATGTTTTTCTTCCAATTCCTCCATTTCTGTAAATACAGGATCATATCGAATTAAATTTATCGAAACTTTGGAGCACAGTATTAGAACACCGACTCCGTCGATCTATTTCCGAGTTGCCATAAACAAAGTTATTCTTGTAAATATAAAAGCCGATATTCAATAGTAGTATATTATGTTTAAAAAAGAAATTAATTACTGTACAGAAATGGCACACAGAGAGAGAAGTCGACCCTGGTTATATTAAATAAACGTTCGTTCTTTACAAAATTCAAATTATAACTCAAGCATTCACAGAAATATCGCAAACTTGTCCAAAATTATTTAAATGGCGATTATCTATTGTAGAATACATTACTGAAATCCTAATCCATTAGAGAGGACCTTTTAGTAATTTGTAGTCTTAATGGAATCCCACCAGCGTTTGTTATGAATTGAATTACAGGAATATTGTACTGCTGGGGACAAAAGGTCCTTATTAATACAGACGTTCGCCTAAAACTTTCGTTTTATTCTCACAAACACGACGCCGAACAGTTTGTAATGTATTACACGTATTTACGTGGTTCATGTGAAGTGGAAAATTGAGCATTGGCTGAAGTCAGACAATACATTAGATTCTTTTCAATTAAAAAAATAATCTTATGTATAGACATGGATTCTTAGCATAATAACCTCCTAGCATTAGTCCGTAACCAAGAAGATCATCAAGAAATAAAAATAAAGCGAAATATAAATAAATACAAGGAAATATAAGATCTACAAAAAAGGCATTACTATTTTAAGTATAAGCAACAAAAGACTTTACGCTCTCTAACAAAAACCATTCTCAACACTTATTAGAGATGCACTATACTGTGCTTTCAAGATACGCTTTCTCAAAACATAAGCGCGCATTAGCACTTGGCGATAATTTAGAGATGCGTTGTACAAAGTTGCAATAAGCCAAAGCGTTCATATTTTAATTAAAGCCTAAATTAAGTATTCCTAAATTCGGCATAACTGTATATTCATTATGATAGAATATTTTATAAGTATCCTGAATGTGCAAGCGCTGGGCAAAGATAAGATGAAAAGATAAAAAAATATAATAACTCGTTAGAAAAACTGGATATAAAGATATTAATAGGAGATTTTATTGCAAAGCTTAGAAAGAAAAAACGGGATATAAAGATATTAATAGGATATTTTAATGCAAAACTTGAAGGAATAGATGCATAAGCCAAGAATAAGACTTGTAAACTTAGCAACAACAGAAGCTTTATCTTACAGAAGGAAGCACGAAGTTTTTTCAAAACTAGATTCATAAGGGTTTCTGGCTAGCTTTAAACGGTAAATATACTACTCAAACAGACCATATGTTTATTCAAAGATAATACAAGATCTTACAGAAGGCCTATATCGTTGCTCAGTCAAGTGTACAAACTATTTATGAGAATTATTAACAACCAGTTGACCTACAAAATGGACAATTACCAACCGGTTGAACAGGCTGGCTTCCGTAAAGGATATAGTACATAGACCATCTGCTGACAATGAGAACATTGATAGAGAAGGCAAATTAATACCAACTACCCATATTTCTTGCCATCGTCGTCTATGAAAAGGACTGAAACAAGGAGACGTAATATCGCCAAAGCGATATATTTAATCGAACAGATTATACAGGCAAAATAACAACAAAAATAGCCAAACACATAAAAAAGAAAGGAATAACACCAGCTTTTGGAACAAATAACAACCTAGGCAAATATATCAAAACCAACAAGAGCCAAAATAAAAAAACACTTATAAAAGGGCTTTCAATAATAGAAAAAAACCGATTCTACATACGCACTTCACCTTCTAGATCACAATCATTCTTTTAACGACGAATTTAAAATTCTTGACATTCAAAATAAAGCCTTAAGCTATCCTTGTTAGAATCGATGGAAATCAACAAATTAAAAAACACAGATATAATTCTGAATGACCAACTTGAGACAAACAGTTCTCCCCTCCTCAACCTATTTCATTAGAGACTATAAAGGGTAAACGCATGCCAAAAATAGATTACTTGAGAAAGGCAATCAGCCGAAACAGCTGTAGTGATAAGAGTTAAAATAAAATTTTTGTGGAAGTTTGAAAACAAAGTTTTCAGTGTTTTATTGTTACATAAAATGAATTTCCATCAAGTAACGGTCGAATCCATCAATTATTCAAGATTTCAGATTAATTTAAATAGGTTAAAGTAAATGTAAAAAGGAGAATTTTTTAAATATAAATGATTAAAAACATGAAGTAATGCATTATCTTCCATTTACAACCGTAAAAGACAATACATAATTATTTATTTAGAGTATTTATCCACAATCAACTTCAAATTGCATTGTGTGAATTAAAATACAGCCCAGGTAACATGCAAATCTACTTCCGTGTAAATTGGAATGTCATAAAAGAAGAATTTTTCGCAGTGTATTTTTCTTCCAGTTCTAATTTTGTTGCATCACACGAATCCATAAAAAGTGAAAAACTCTTTACAAATTGCCCCATTACGCATCACTCATGACGTCACACGTACCAATATGTCGTAGCATTGCGATTCGTTACCAGCTTACAAAAAGGGTTATCGTCCTCGAAAGAATAAAGCTGGAAGCTGCAGGAATAGTCCAGTAAATTAAACTCAGTTTAAAGCGTTTTATCTGGTTTTGGTGAGTGTGCTCAAAAGAAAATTTTCGACTGGAAAAATGTTTGTACAGAAGAATTGGAAAATATCATTAAAGTAGTAAATAAATATTTTATACTCTTACAAGAACTGCACAAGCATATCTTTAGTAGCCTTAATATCAAAGGATCTAAAGTACGGAGGATCAGATTTGAGCAAACAACTACTAAAACTAATCCAAAAAATAATAGAACAAAACAGAATTCCTCAAGAATGGAGATCAAGCATACTAATACCTCTCTTTAAAAAGAGAGACAAATCGGACCCGGAAAATTACAGAACAATTAATTTATTAAATACAACACTAAAATTATCAACCAAAATGATAACAAATAAAGTGAACGAAATTATAACAGATAAGGAGAAGAACAACAAGGTTTTAGGTCGGGAAGATCTGAGCCTAGTATTGCTTGGTATTGTTCGGTATTTTCATCTTTTAATTGATTTAATTTCTGAGAAGCAATCGCCATTGTTGCTTATAGGGTCGAATTCTTTGCTTATCTGGCTTAGCTGTTCGGTGATGGTTATCATCAAAGACCATGGTCTTTGGTTATCATTCGACATCTCCCACAAAATTATGATATTACAGTTGGAACACTTAGAAAACCTACGAGCAAATAGGCTATGTACTTTAGGCCTAAATTTCAATGTAAATCACATAACAAAAAGCTATAATTCATTATGATCATTTCATTTTTCTATATAGAAAAATGAAACATACGTAAGAACCTAACCTTTTACGTGATACATGACAGTCCAAGTAAAACGAGATTTTTGACATATCATTTTATATTTATATCAAATGTAATGTTTTATGTCAAAACATCACATATTATGTCACGTCTCACGTCAAATGCCACATTTCACATAAAGTCATGTTTCCAGTTACGTTGATTTTGAGAATGCACCATCTAGCTTGTGAAATAGTGTTTCTGGTAAAAGTTTTTAACCTTTTTAAGCAGAAAAAACTTCTTTCTACGGAAACGCTTGTCGATGGAATTGTCAGAATTACACTAAACAAATTATAAGCTTCTGCAACAATGTCTTTAATTGGTTGTAACTAAATTCTTGCAAATTCACATTTTTGTAATTTTCGTCGGCATAAAGAAGGCAGAGCTCACTTTTAAGTATTTGATGTTTAGTAAATTGTGTGCCATAATACTCAAATAAATTTTGAAAAACGTCGGAAGGGAAGGTCAAACTATATGACTCAAATTTTGTTGTATCTGCTAAGCTTACGAATTTTAATTTATCGCAAACCTGAAAACGTATATCCATTTCCATTAAAATATGATCATATATTTAAAAAAAAATTGCTTAGTATTGAGTAGTAATTGCAGTCTTGCTCATACCATCATCACACCTAAACCGTTTGGAAGTATTAATGAACGTCATTGTGCTTGCTTTTTCAAAAATAGAATTAAAAAATTCTTCATTTCTTTTATCACTTATTAATTGACGAGTTCTCCTTATCTGATTTAAACACAAATTAATATCTAGGTACTTTTTTTCAAGAACATCATATAAAATATCTATTATACGAAAAATGTCGCTAAAAACTGTTGCTAAAAATGTGAACTCAAAATCTTTTATAAACTCTTTAGCCAGCTGACTCTTCAGAGTTGATTATATTATCAAAAACCTTTTTTAATTTTTCCCAGTCTTCAATAATTACACTGATTAATTTTGAATTAGACGACCATCTTGTCTCTGGCGACGACCATCTTGACCTGTAATTGTTGGCATACGTCTAGCCGATGTAGATGCAAGAGCGTACGGTTGTTTTGCTAAACTATGAAAAAACGATGGGATTCCGGTAATAGTTGCAAAAAAATTCGACATTTTGATATTTTCTTAAAGCTCTGTTGCAAAACAAAATTAAGTCGATGAGCTTATAATAAAGTGCACTAAACAAACAAACTTAATACTGTGACGACACTAAACTAATAAATACACTACATAAACTATACTATATAAAAAATATCTATATAATAGACTAAATTTCAAAATATCGTCGCTGAGAGAAATTTCCAAAAAATAGGAATACTAATACACTTTAAATTAGTAGGTGAAGACGGGTAGTTTATTTTTCAATTGATCTGCACTTGCCAGTTTTCTCAGCTATCACTAACGACAGACTTACGTTACGTTGCCATGGTAACCGTGAACGCTTGTGCAGATGAATTCCGCATTTCAAAAATGATATTCACCTATTCCTGAATCGTACACGGCTAGTGACACAGGTCAGGACTTGACCTTCAAGTACCTACCGCTAATAAAGCTAGTTGTCTTTTTTAATTTTTAGATTAATTAAAAGAGAATAAATAATTAATTTCAAAATTTAGATATAATAATGTTTCTTTTATTTTTTATTTATTTGTCTCAATTTAATTATATTTTTTTGGTGAACCTCACCTTCACCTACTTCACCTGGCCGGCCGCCGCTGGATAAAATATGTTATGTTATACGCTAATGGCAATACAAAAAGGATTATCAAAAAAGTTCCTGTAAGCAATTCATTATTTTAATTTAGGTAATATTAAATGTAATCGGTGCTATTTCTATATTAAACGGGATTATCCTCTACTGCTGGACTATTATAAAGTTTGGAGCTGGGAAGTGAAAGGTACGATGAGTAGCTCGCGGAGGTTCCCGCTTGAGTATGACTAGAGAGGGATGTGGTAAGAGACAGGATGGAAATAAGCTCCAAGATGAGCCGGAGATTATGTAAAATAGGGCGAATCCGTGCCAAATACCTGATATGACACTTTAAACAGCCGAATTGCCTCTTAAACAAATTGACAATGAGGGAAAATTCTGAAAGACGTTTATTGCTTTTCGACGGAGCCTTTCTAGAATAAACGCGACGGAATTTTGACGAAAATCATCATAAAGCGAATGCCTCCGTTTTGTGTTTCGATGACGTATTAGGAGATTGCTTTTGTTGCTGGCTGCATGTATTATAATAAGACAAATAACCGTTATAAATCAAAGACTTTTTTAAACTGAAAGCCTCTAAACAATATATTATATGATAGGCATCACAAAGACGTGACAAAAATATAAAACTTATTTTTAATTTTAATTCTCAATATTTTGAACTAGCTGTTAAAAACCCAGAGCCAATCTATTTTAAACCCATTAAAGACAACTTAAAAAACATGATTTTATCTCCATTATAAGTGTATTTTTTGTATGAGAGAGTAATAAAACAATAAATTATGTATGCAAATCCCTAAACTGTTGATACGGGTGACTCAATGAAAAACGGATATTTGTCAACAAGTTTACCCTAGTATATAGGAAAACAATTTTAAATTGAGTATGACCACCAGGTATAAAGGTTGGAGCAGAATAGAATACAATAGTTGTGAGGGTTACTAATCCCTAAATAAGGTTGCCAGTGTCGGAGTGATGGAGGTTAACAGGTACTAATGAATTTGCAAGAAATGTAAGATGTTTATTTTATTGGTTATATATAACGAATAAAAGTTTAATAAGTACCTACCTATTTGCAAAATAAAGTTTCATTTTTTAAGATAAAATAAAACGTTTTATTTTATCTGAAATGAGTGCATTCCACGAAGTAAGGGTTTCAACAATCAAACATTTAATTCTTTAATTCCAGGAATTTACGACAGTAATTGACTAGATAATTACCGTCTAAACTTATTAAACAGAAAATGTGATAGTGGGTTTTTCCATTTTGTAGGAAGCTCCAAGTAGCGTATTCAAAATTCTTAACAGTTCACTAAAAGTAGGTACTTCAGTTGCAAGGTGCAGTTTTTTGTGTATACTAGTGTTATGGAAAATTTGGAAGTGCCGTGTAAACGCCGAAAAATTGGTCCTTTAACAGTTAATGAAAAAACATTAATATTTAATTGTTTTAAATCATTTACAGACAAACGTTTATGTGAAAGTGTTGATGAGACCGTTGAGTTAGTTAGCAGTACACTTGGTGTTGGGAAATCTACGATTTACAGAGTTATTAAAGAAGAGAAATGTGGTAGTTTTCAAATGCCACGTAATGCTCCAGAGAAACCAAAATTTCAAATAGAATATCATTTTAAAGAAGGACTTCGACGGAAAGTGCATGAATTCTTCTTTAGACAAGAATTTCCAACATTGGGATACAGTTCTTGTCTCAGTTCGAGATGATAAGGATTAACCAGAAATGAGTTGAAGTACGTTATGGAAACTTTTAAAAGAAATAGGCTTCCGCTGGAAAAAGAATTCCAGAAAGTCTATTTTATTAGAAAGAAGCGATATTGTCATATGGAGAAGACATTTTCTAAGAACCATAAAGGAAATGGGAAACCAAAAAAGAAAAATATTTTATCTTGATGAAACATGGATCAACGAGGGTCATACACCAAATAAATTTTGGCAGGATGAAACTGTTACAAGTCAAAGGCACGCTTTTGTAAATAACTTATCTACTGGTTTAAACCCACCATCAGGAAAGGGACGCAGGCTGATAATAGTACACATTGGCAGTTCAGACGGTTTTGTTGAAGGTGGTTTATTAAATTTTGAATCAACTCGTACCGGTGACTACCATGAAGACATGAACGCTGATGTCTTTCAAGAATGGTTCGAACAAATGATAGATCTTCTTCCTAATAACTGTGTAATAGTAATGGATAATGCAAGTTATCACTCCAGACTTATAGAAGGACTGCCCACAACCAAGTGGTTAAAAAAAGACTTGCGGAATTGGCTGAGTTCAAAAAATATTACGTACCATCCCGGATCTATAAGAAAGGAACTTTATTCGTTGTGTGCTCTTCATAAAGAAAAATTTAAAAAATACGAAATTGATGAAATTGCCAAAAATCGTGGAATGACAGTACTTAGATCTCCACCATATCATTGTGAATTAAACCCGATTGAACTGGTATGGGCACAGATAAAGAGTGAAGTTTCAAGAAAAAATACCACTTTTAAAATTCATGATGTTAAACAGTTGTTTTTGGAGGCCGTAAATAATGTAAAACCTGAAAACTGGGAAAAGGCAGTAAATCACACTATTAAAGAAGAGGAAAAAATGTGGAAGCTGGACAATATTACTGATAAAATGATCGAGCCAGTTATTATAAATCTTAGTTCTGAAAGTTCATCTTCTGAATCTGATTTGGATTTGTAACAAGTAGCTGTAAGTTTTATATTAATATTTTTATTCATCTATTTAACATACCTTAGACGGTTTTAAAAACTCTTTTTCTCTTTTGTAATTTTTAAAAATTAAAAAAAATGTGAATTTTTTAAAACCCTTTTTAATGTAGGCCAGTCAGTTCTAATATAGTGTGTGATAAAAGAGGTCACTTTTGTTTACATACACATAACACTTTATAACACTGAAATAATTCATTTATTTTTTACAATTACTCAAAGTAATTTTTCAATTAATCTTGAGCACGCCCATGGAGTGGTCGCAGGTACCAGTTAAAATTATGCTAATTACTCTCTCGTTCATAAAAATAAACTATAATTTAAGGAAACTTTAGTTTTATCTGTGTCTTGTTTTATATTAGATATTCTTAAAGTTAGCTCTTGTAGGGTCAATGGGATTTAACTCAGAATAAAATTACGGTAAATACAAAATAGAGTGACCATATTGCAGAAGATTATCAACGTAATCCGATATCTAAAGGTACGCTCATACTGTCATCTGGAACGTGACATTCGATGCAGGACGTGACTGCTATGATCTGGTCGAGGATACGATGCGATGGTCTCCGTTATGATGGTCTCAGACTGGTTTTTATCAGGAGTGGTAAATTATTTGAGGTTATGTAGTCGCCACTGAAGCAGTCATTGTCGAACCTACGAATTATGTTTGCTATATAAGTGATAGTATTAATATTGGAGTTTCCCTGGACCATAAAAAGATGGTTTCGGATTTGGCGATTTTTATAATGGGCGGTCTGATAGGCTTTCGGGTTTAGTGGGGTGATCACTGCATTGAGTGTGTATAGATTATATGTTGAATTTTAACACAATTATTCTTCTTATTAGATCTGATTCTTTTTATGAGAATTATTCATAATTCTGAACCTTTTCTTTCAGTGGCCAGAAATCATTTTTTATTGCATTATTATTTGTCCATTTTTATCATTTTGTTTTACTAGTATAGTAGTTGGCCTTCTAATTTTTTGTTTAGAATAGAATAGAATAGAAATATGCTTTATTGTCACTGAAAATTATTGAACAATTTTATGGACAAAGCTAAAAAATAAATCAGTCAAATAGTACAAAAAGTATAAAACAAAAACAAATATAGTAAAAAACAGAATAACACAATTTTAAATTAGTAAAATTATTGTATAACCTACATAATTTGTACAGACAACAACAAATGAGGCAAATTGTAGCCACTGCTTGAGACACCCAAATGTAATTATAAACAATACTAATTTTGTTTTTTTGTTATACATTAAGAAACTCGTCAACTGAATAATATGGTCTTTCTGAGAGATAGATTTTTGTCACCTTACGAAACTTAATGAAGGATGTTGCGGATTTAATTTCTCTTGGAAGGTGATTATAAAGTTTCTTTGCACGATATAGAATAGAATTCTTTACTATTTAGCTGAGTGGACGGGATCGGCAAATAAACGTTACAATCCGAATTTCTAATGCAGTAGCCCTGGTCAGGTCTATCGGGAAAAATGTTTAGATGCTTTCGAATCAAACAAACCGTTTCCAAAATAAATAAAGAGGGAAGCGTCAAAATTCCGTGATTTTTGAAGTAGGTCTTGCAATGAGTTGTTTGTTTGAGACCAAATAGATATCGGATTGCTCTGTTTTGCAACTTAAAAATAGTATCAAATTGGGCCGC